GCAGGCTAAAAATTGAAACTGAAAATGAGTTTCCATTGCAGTGAAAAATTTTCTTAGTCAGGTGTGAAGTAGCGTACTTTTAGTGTATCGATGCCATTAAGAACCCACAGCTTCGGGAGTAGAGTCGGAAAGTGCGGTAACGGCCGGCCAAGATGCTGTGAAGTAGTGGATATGCTCTATAGGCGATAGAGTTGCCTATCAGCAGAATGTTTGCTGTTCCGTTTGCTTTCTGAAAAAAGTGTTATCAGAAATGTAAGCCGGTCATTCAGGTTCTTTGCTCATTTTCGATGGTACAGGAAGTACATATTTCCTGCTGCTCTACGGGTGGGCGCCAGACTTTGTGACCAATAGCTAGCCAGATCGCGATTGGCCGCGAACAGGATCAAGCAAGGTGTCCTGGAAAACTTTGATCACCCCCCTTCCGCCCATCCCAGTAGCGAAGGTTGCTATGCACATCTATTCTCTGCATACAGAGGCCTGTGAAGAGAGTGGTTGTGTTGACCTCGGACCAGCTTATCTAGTATGTAGGGGAACAAGTAGAAATTTGTATTCGTTTTCAAATGAACACAACTTTTTCGGAGGTTGATTTTCATACTGAAAAAAAAGAGTCGGATGTTTCAATTTCTGAGTTCGTATATACAGGGTAAGGCATAATTCGAAGAGGACGCAATTGTGATCCATTTTCGAACCGATAGGTCAAAATTGGGTGGCAATAATTGTAGCAAAGTTCAAACATATTTTCTCAGAGGTGGATCGAGATTGAGGGGAGGGGGTGGGCTGTACTCTGCGTCTTTATAAGTACTTTGATCCAACTATCAACAAACTTCCGTGAAACTTACATCCACGCAACGTAATTGTGGTTCCTGGGTAAAATGCGTATAAGAAGGGGTCTCGTTATCCGGCTGACAAGGTAGTTGGAAGTACACTTTTCCCGATTCGATCAAGTTCCACGAGATAGCGTATTGTTCTAAAATATAGGAACAGAAACGTTCTCAAGTAGCAAGCTTGTGTACTACATATTTAATTCTCATATTAGTATGTAAAATACGTCACTTGTCTATCATTTGTACAGCAGTACAGGTCGTGTTTATAAGCTTAGTCGTTTTTTTTCTTCTGGTAGAAAAGTTTTTCAAGACATGAAGCGACCTTATGAAAAATGGTGAGATAATGGCTTGTTCAGATTATTTCCATTATTTCAATAAAGGACTGAAATGAAACTGTGAAATACGTTCCCAAATAGGAGCGAAGGTCAACTGCATGGCGTTTGGTTTAATCAGGGTGACCTTGCTGAGCGCTTCGAGTAGTGCTTCGAGGGATGAGCTTTTACAGATGAACAGATGAAAATTTTCCAAACCAGAATTCAAAAACTTCATCGAACCCTTAGAATAATTTGCCTGCAAATTCTCATTCTGCAGGACGACATTTGAGTGTTCATCAGAAGCCAATTTTTGTAGCAAAGATGGAAGCGCTTTTACGTCTCAAGAGTCAAAGGCGAAACGTTCTCAGAGAATGATCTTCCGACCCTTGGTGTTGACAGGCCAATCTAAAATTTTTGCAACGATGGTGGAACAGCCATGATGGACTAATTTTGTGGTCCGGTGAGAAGAACGCGAGTGAAAAACTCGGCAGAAAACTCGCATTACCTATACAAACTTTAATAATATTTCCACAAAAAAAAAGGTCTAACGCTGACTTTGAGTGGAGAAAAGCCTTCGATTGGAACACGGATGTGTACATACGGAGGCGTGCCCTCTTATGGAGTGAACTCTCGCGTATTTCCTCTCTTCAACGCGCTGTGCCACGGTAAACCTCACGGGAATACGCTCTTCATTCTAATGTTTTGGATGGCTTCTTTTGCAATTTTCTTTACTACCCTCTCCATCGCAAGAGAGTTGCGAGACCAGTATTAGATCTCTTCGTCGGAAGACCCTTTCATGATTAGAAACAACTTACTGGAAGTGTTGGAAATATTGTAACCTAGAGACGGTGCCATGGAGAACGAAGGAGCAGTTCCAATTACATAGAGATAACATCCAGCCACGCAGATGAGCGCCGGCACAAATCCATTTGATATGAAGTAACTCTGTAAAATCGAAAAAAGTTACGTACATTAGAAGTCCTGGTGGTAAATCAGTGTAAAAATGAAAGAGATCTGAATCTGAACAATATCCTTAATAAGGGGATAGAGTTCCGGGGAGGGGTAGGGTTCATCATTCATCATTAGTATTGGAGGGACTTTGTTGTGCTTTCTAATACTAAAGATGAAGAATGCTCATGATTTATTTTCTTAGATGATTATTTATTACAGTTACAGCTCGCCCGCTACCGACGCGCATGACACGGAAGACTAAAATTTAAAGATAGAGAACGAGAATACGAGTCAGAAAAGCTATTGCAGGATTCTCAACCCGCAATAACATATAAGCTAGCCCTTCCTTAAATGCAAAATAATACATGTCCGATTGCTCACTTGAAGCAAACATGATAATACATCTCACTGTTTGATAAGCCGCAGTGAAGTGCACAGCTAAAGTGATGTATGTAAACAACCACCATGCATCGAGTATCGAGGTAATTTAGCGGTCGAATAATTTTTGATGATCTCAAATTAGAATGCCCAGTATTCACTATCGTATTTATTCGAGCATCTCATTCATCCTCAAGAACTCGAGAAGGTGCAGCGGTCGAAAGGTGTTTGAGTTTACAATTATAACGCTAATGAAATGATATTGAAATGAAATGCATTATCTGCAATCTGGTTTCGAGTGATCTCTACGTTCGTACGCATATCGTAATTATCAGTCCTCATCTGTCGTTATCACTTTTTGACCCCACAAAATATGTTACCGTCCCACCCCCATATCATGTCCCAAAATCAGTTCCTGACGACTGCTGCGAAGCGCACTATATATTTTCGTGAAATTTGTGTTTCAGCGCCTCTTATCTGCTCTTATCAGTCGTTATCACTTTGTAGCCCCCACCAAATATGTTCCCGCCCCACCCCCTATACATGTCCCAAAATCAACTCCTGACGACTGCTGCGAAGCGCATTATATATTTCGTGAAATTTGTGTTTCAGCGCCTCTTATCTGCTCTTATCAGTCGTTATCACTTGTGACCCCCCACCAAATATGTTCCGCCCACCCCCTATATCATATCAAAAAATCAGCTCCTAACGACTGCTGCGACGCGTGCTATGAATTTCGTGACACACACACACACACACACACACACACACACACACACACACACACACACACACACACACACACACACACACACACACACACACACACACACACACACACACACACACACACACACACACACACACACACACACACACACACACACACACACACACACACACACCACACACACACACACACACACACACACACACACACACACACACACACACACACACACACACACACACACACACACACACACACACACACACACACACCACACACACACACACACACACACACACACACACACACACACACACACACACACACACACACACACACACACACACACACACACACACACACACACACTTCATACATAGTACACACACACACACACACACACAGCGTTTTTATCGTATAGTAGAGATGTTATTATTTATTACACACACACAACACAGCGTTTATATATATAGTAGGGCGATGTTATTATTTATTATATTATTTATCCTATATTATTTATCATCATTCGAGGTGTCATTCTGATATGCACCGGTGTACTCCTGAGATGCTTCCACTGTACGGCCTGCAATGGCTCAGGAAGCGGTTTCGCACCAGGGGCCGGACATCTTCGCTTAGACCTCACGGTTTTAGCTGCTATAGGGCGAACGACCAAGTACAAAAATGGTACAGCATGTGGGCAGGATGTGCGTCATGTAGGGCTTACACCGCTACTTATCAAATGTACACTTTTAAATGAGCCGTTCTAAGTACCAGCTTCTCCTTATCGTTAGTGTAACAGTCAAAAGAAGTGCCTCAAGGGTGAGATAAGAAGGAGTCTCCCTCCCCTCCCCCCGTATCTCCATTTTTATCATTTGCCTCAACTACAGGGTCCATGGTGGAAGGTGGTGGAGGCTAAATTACATCACTTTCACGTAGAAAGACCTGAAGACCACTTTTTACATTTTGAAACTTTGGAACATCTTACGACCGTTACTGGGTGACCGATATTGCAGCCAAGTACCCGAGTCCTTCAAAAATGCTCGCAAGATTCCTAGCTTTCAACAACACCTTCACTCCTATTCGCGATTTGGAAAGAGGGTTGCATTTGGAGTTGGTGAAATTCAAAAGATCGAGGTCGTTTTCGGACGTAAAGGGGTTGTGAATGCGGGAGAGGTAACATATGACGGAATTCAAACGATTTTGGGAAAAGATTACGAAAGAGGCGTGAAATGAACACAATCAGAAAACAGCGTTGGAGGAGTTGTCAACATGGGAGTACATAGCACATTATGCGCTTCACTCTGTAGTGCTCCCGCACCCTATTAAGAACCAAACATGCTTTTGCGTTGCCAAAGGTTCATCACGGCGCGGCTGGGGCTTCACTCATCAACCGCTTTAATCACTGTCTTCGAAGAAAAGCCCGTTTTCCTTCTTTTCATGTCGTGTTTCTGTCAGTGATCACTGTGATATGCTGAAATGGTCCCTCCCATGTGTGCTCCAAATTTCATAGAGCTAGAAGGTTACTTACAGAAGGGAAATCTTGTTTTCGCCCTTAAAGCGACAGTCTCAGCATGATTCCTGCCCTTCTGTTCAATTCTAATGCACTACCGAAATACACAGTTCCCTATGGAAAAAACATTTGACGTAAGTTAATTAACGAAAACTCATCTGGGAAAATCCCGGAAAAGCGGCTGTTTAAATTCCAAGAGAGGGTGATATCAGTTTAAGGGCAATGGTCAACCGGAAGGCTTGGTGATTCAGTGTTTTGTAGTGTTCTCTGGGACTCTCGCACATACACACTATTACAGCATCTCTGCTTTCTTTCCCTCCTTCGAAAGGCTTAGTCCCAGCAGTGTGCTTTTCTGTCTGGACTCGCACACGTCGTTGGTTGACCGCTGCCCGTAACCATTTTGGAAAACATGTGGGAAGTAGAAGTTATTAAGAAAACTCACCTGGGAAAATCTCGAAAAGGGCTTTTAGATCCTTAAGATGGGCGTGGTTGGAAATTTCTCCGAAACCGCCCACTCGCCAAGCAGTGAGCAGTACCCACACCCACCCTTTACTGCCCCACTCCTCAAGAACTGAGCCGGATTTTGATCGAAATTCGTCCATGACTGTGGATTTGGCTAGAAACTTGTTTTCGGGGGTATTTCGACCCGTAGAACACGAATATCACACCGGTTTAGCGCGAAAACGCTTGGCGCCCGCGCCACAGGCGCCGGCGCTATCACAACAGTTTTGCGCGGGCGCTCGTAGCGCAGGCTACAGGCTCACTCGCAACGAACTAATGTGATATTCATGTTCTACGGGTCAAAATACCTCTGAAGACAAGTTTCCAGCGAATTTGGGATCCGAGATGTTCTGGCGCCTTTTGGCGCCGGCGCTTCTGGCGCGAGCGCCAGGCGTTCTAGCGGTAAACAAATGTGATATTCGTGTTCTACGGGTCGAATTACCCCTGAAGGCAAGTTTCTAGCCAAATCCACAGTCATGGACAAATTTCGATAAAAACCCGGCTCAGTTCTCGAGGAGTGGGGCAGTAAATAGTGCATAATTTTTTAAAATTTTTTCCAAACATTACCTCGACGGTATGATGAGCAACTATCGAAATTAGTAAACTGCAAGCGACGACGAACATGACTTCTGAAAATGACATCTCGGCCGTGTTCTTTGAGAGCAATCAAATCTGCTTTTACCCGAAATGCTGAGATGCTGAGTATCACAATAGTAACGAGTAGCAACAATGACTGGCCAATGAACTAGGTAAAGAACATAGGAGATGTCTCCACAATATACGATCGGCTTATTAGTGATGTAGAATGAGTCGGTGTTCAGAAAAATGACGAAGGCAGCAAGAAATGTAGACAAAATTCTAAAAAGCAAATTATTTCAGTTAGCAAACATTGAGTCCGTTTTCAGCAACGCGGATTAGCTGCAAGTTGCTAAGTTTATTACGGTAAAAATTCATATTAAAGTGCTAAAGGCTTAACAATATGTTTTGCGAAATATCACCCACATATAGCCTAGCTGAACAATAGTCAGCTCATCTACACGTCGCCCTCTGTTTACTTCAATTTTTTTAAAACCTACTTCTGAGCTCTCTTCTCGATACCTATCGATTAGGATTTCTCAAACGGCAAGCAACACGGAGGAGCAA